TCCCTTCTTAGTCAGTTGCGTTAATGGAATTGCAATCCTTGAGAAATCCTTCACAAACTTCCTGTAATAGCCGGCCAAACCCAGAAAACTACGAACCTCGGACACGTTGGTCGGCGTCGGCCAATTCACGACGGCTTCAATCTTACTTGGATCAACAGAGATTCCTTCTTCATTAATCACATGGCCCAAAAATGAAATGCTGGAAAGCCAAAATTCACACTTGCTAAGCTTGGCATACAATTTTCTGTCTCTTAGGATTTGTAAGGCTAGTCTCAAATCCTGCTCATGCTCATCACCACTCTTCGAATAGATCAGTATGTCGTCGATGAAAACAACCACGAACTCGTCTAGGTACAGCTTAAAAACCCTGTTCATCAAATCCATGAATGCGGCAGGAGCATTGGTCACCCTGAAAGGCATTACCAAAAATTCGTAGTGGCCATACCTTGTCCGAAAAGTAGTTTTCTCGACATCCACGGCCTTAACCTTTAGCTGATGGTAGCCCGACCTCAGATCAATCTTAGAAAAGACCCGTGCCCCTTGTAGTTGATCAAGTAGATCATCAATCCTCGGCAATGGATACTTATTCTTAATGGTCACCTTATTCAGTTCTCGGTAGTCGATACAAAGACGAAGTGTACCATCCTTTTTCTTGACAAATAGAACTGGTGCTCCCCAATGTGAAGTGCTCGGCCTAATAAATCCCTTGTCCAACAATTCTTGTAATTGTAGTTTCAGTTCCTTAAGTTCGGCTGGGGCCATTCTATAGGGTGTTTTGGAGATAGGTTGGGTTCTCGACATAACATCAATCGTAAATTCTATTTCCCTATCCATTGACTGGCCAGGCAATTCATTTGGAAAGACATCGGGGAATTCCCTAACTACTGGGATGTCGGCTAACTCAACATTTCCATTCAATTCACTTAGTATACTACACAGATAACCTTGACACCCCTTCTGGATCAACTTATAAGCTTTCATGGATTAGATTAAGTAAGGTGGGGGTACTACTCCCTTACCCTGGAAAATAACCTCGGCTTGATTTGGGGGTTTCAGTGTGACATTCTTTGAAACACAATTAATAGATGCATGATTCGTTACTAACCAGTCCATTCCCAATATGACATCAAAGTGAGTCATGCTTAACGGCATTAAATCAACTAATAATTCTACGCCCTCAATCGCAACGACACATGCCCTATAAATGGATGCAACAATCATAGTTCTCCCAGATGGAGTGGACACATGTAACACATAATCAAGGGGTTCTTGTTCTCTATTTATCTTTTCGGCAAACTTAGCAGATACAAATGAATGTGTAGAACCCGAATCAATCAATATGTATGCATCTTGAGAGCAGATTGGGAGTATACCTGACACGACTGTCTCAGCATTCTGAGTGTCTCCTGGTACCAATGCAAAAACTCTGCCCTGTCTCGTCTGGGCCCTCCCGATGTTATTTCTCTGTGCGGAGCCCGAGCTACTCCCATTCTTCTTACCATCATCAGTCCTTGCCTTTGGACAGTCTCTCACGCGAAGACCCATTTCGCCACATCGAAACAGGCTCCTGATGCCCAACGGCAAACTCCGGAATGCGGTTTCCCATAACTTGCACACGTCGGCTTAGCATTACCTTCCTGGTTCGGGTTGCTGGATGTAAGGACCCACATTTATGTCTTAGTCATGTTCATGAGCATCTGTATGATTATGACTTGTTAAGCTTGCATTTGTATGTTTGTGACTTTGTTTTGCTTAAGTATGTAAGGTTCATGCCTTCTTTTGATGCCTTTGTGAAGTGTCTAAGTGTTGCTCGCATGATTTGCTCCTTCCTTGATGTGAAGCCTAGGTTATGCTAAGCCTAGATCATTCCAAGCCGAGGTCATCTTCAGTTTAGAAGTATCTTGGAATCCCTTCGTTTGACCTCCACCTTTCCTTTGACATATTGGCCGAGATGTTACCTTTGCACTTGAGTGATCTTGTCCTGGAGTGGTATGACCTAGACCGAGGTGTGGCACATCTAGGCCAAGGTGTGGCACAGCTTAGTCAAGTGTTGTCCTTCCTAGCCGAGGTCATTGTCACCTTAGTTGCCGAAGTTTTGTTGTTAGCCGATGTCATCACTTGCCGGAGTGCCTTACCGAGTAGCTTATTAGATACGCTTTGTCAGAGTCTTGTCTTGTCAATCTATCACCTTTTCAGAGAGAACCAACCAGCCGTTGCCACGTGTCCAGGCTGAGAGTTAAGTCAGCCGATAGAGAGAGGAAACCTATCATTTGTTGTATATTGTTTTGGAGAGTAGAGAGAGAAAGCATGTTTTCCCTAGGTGTTTTCAGCATGTTTTCCCTAGGTGTTTTCAGCATGTTTTCCCTAGGTGTTTTCAGCATGTTTTCCCTAGGTGTTTTCAGCATGTTTTCCCTAGGTGTTTTCAGCATGTTTTCCCTAGGTGTTTTCAGCATGTTTTCCCTAGGTGTTTTCAGCATGTTTTCCCTAGGTGTTTTCAGCATGTTTTCCCTAGGTGTTTTCAGCATGTTTTCCCTAGGTGTTTTCAGCATGTTTTCCCTAGGTGTTTTCAGCATGTTTTCCCTAGGTGTTTTCAGCATGTTTTCCCTAGGTGTTTTCAGCATGTTTTCCCTAGGTGTTTTCAGCATGTTTTCCCTAGGTGTTTTCAGCATGTTTTCCCTAGGTGTTTTCAGCATGTTTTCCCTAGGTGTTTTCAGCATGTTTTCCCTAGGTGTTTTCAGCATGTTTTCCCTAGGTATTTTTAGCATGTTTTCCCTAGATGTTTTCAGCATGTTTTCCCTATGTGTTTTCAGCATGTTTTCCCTAGGTATTTTTAGCATGTTTTCCCTAGATGTTTTCAGCATGTTTTCCCTAGGTATTTTTAGCATGTTTTCCCTAGATGTTTTCAGCATGTTTTCCCTAGGTATTTTTAGCATGTTTTCCCTAGATGTTTTCAGCATGTTTTCCCTAGGTATTTTTAGCATGTTTTCCCTAGATGTTTTCAGCATGTTTTCCCTAGGTATTTTTAGCATGTTTTCCCTAGATGTTTTCAGCATGTTTTCCCTAGGTATTTTCAGCATGTTTTCCCTAGATCATTTGCATTCATGTGAAGCTTGTTTTTAAGAGTGCATTCAATAGACTTTGACATGTGTTTGTAGGACTTGGACCTTTGCCTTGATCCCGACGTCCCAAGAACTAGGTGAGTGGTATTTCTAATAAAGATATGTTCTTAAGGTTTTGATAAAGCTTTGCTTTGGTTTGATAAAAGTATTTGTTAAGCATGAATGATATCCCTATTATATATATCAAGTATAAGCTTTGTTTTGAATGACAAGTTATCAAGTATAAGCTTTGTTTTAATGTCAATCTTTGAAAGTCCGTACGTGCCAGGGGACTTTAAGCATTAGTAGCACACATGTGAAGTCCGTACGTGCCAGGGGACTTTAAGCATTAGTAGCACACATGTTAAGCAAGCAAGTTTTGAAGGACCAAGGTTATGCCGAGGTTATGTTATAAGTTTTGACGCATGTTAAGTATGTAAGTTTTGCAAGATTAAGTTTGATGAACAAAGATTTATCTCATGTTTTGTACAAGCTATGATAGGTATGGTTTTGACAAGATATATTATGTATTGTTTTGAAAGACCTCGGGAATCATTCATGTAACCCCTTTATTACTTGTACCATTCACTGAGTACCCAAGCTCACCCTCCCTATGTATATGTAGGTAACAAGCAAGAAGTCGGCTACGCCGAGATGTGTGTTTTGCAAGATGTTTTGGATGCATGTTTATGTCGGCAATCCGAAGATTTTATTTCTTAATTTGTATTTCATGTGTTATATTTATGTCGGCTTGAGAAGCCTTTTGCCAAGATGTAATATGTACTTTTGTATTCAAGTTTTAAATGCTATGTAAAGATGTATGCCATTCCATTTGACTTATGCACTGCTCTTATGGGCCACTTGTATTTTGAATTATTGCTTCCGCATTTGCAAGCTCCGTATATTATACTCCGATTGTGTGTGAATTTTGGAAGTTGACCTTCGGTAATTACAGATTACTGGCCATCACGGTACCAAACTACTAGGGGTGGTTTGGGGTCGTGACAGAATGGTATCAGAGCACAAGATCCTTATAGTACGTTATTCACACACTTTGAGTCCTAAAGAGCATAGGATGTCCCTTAGAAGAATGTTAGGATTGCATCATGTTACTTGCTACTTGAAAAGGCGTGCATCATCTCGGCATGAGCATTTTGTTACATCGGCATGATCATGTTTACTTGCATACACGTTCATTTGTTCATTTTGTTCTAAGTGTCACATCCCCCATACCCCAGCATCATGAGAAGAGGTAGACCCCCAGTGGGCTGAGAACAATCCGAGGACAGAATAGACAGATTAGAAAGATTGGTTGAAAGCTTGACCGATGAGTTAAGGCAAGCAAGGCAGCAGAACACTGGTACTACCTCCACATAGGCCGAGCAGACAGATGGCCGACATGCAGTTCCACCACCGCCAGTACCACAAGTGCCTCCGCAGCCAGCTTTGTACGGAGATGACACATTGACCCTGATCAGAGAATTCCGGAAGATGAAACCGCCGAAGTTCCATGGAGGTATAGAGCCGATGAAAGCAGAAGCATGGATTCTTGAGATGGAGAAAATGTTCGAGGTTTTTCCCAGCACTGACACTCAGAAGGTGTCACTAGCAGCATTCACATTGGAAGACGACGCCCGTAGATGGTGGATGATGATTCGAGAAGGCAACCCAGACTTGACTTGGGCCAGATTTTTGGAGCTGTTCTACGACAAACACTTCCCGCTCAGTGTACGAAATCGCAAGGCTACAGAATTTCAGATGTTGACACAGGGAAGCAAGACAGTGGCAGAGTATGATCGTGCGTTCACTGAGTTGGCAAGGTATGCACCTCACATGGTCGGCAACGAATACATGAAAGCTAGGAAATTTGAGAGTGGACTTCGAGGGCCGATACAAGACCAGGTTAATTTGCTCAACGTGCCAACGTATGCCGGAGTGTTAGATAAAGCTATCCTTGCAGAAGCCGACCTGAACAGAAGTCAAAGTTCAGGAAAGAGTTAGAGGAAGAGGCAGACCTACGACAATCGCGAAGAAGAGGCAGACCCGAATGATGCCGAGGAGAAGACAGTGGAGGATGGTCCCAACAACGCGAATTAGGAAGGTGGCACCAGGCCGACATGTCCTAGTTGTGGGAAGCTACATTTTGGGGTTTGTCTTCGGGCGACTGGAGCATGTTTCGGATGCGAAGAGAGAGGTCACCGTATTAACGATTGTCCCAAGGTAAAAACTAAGGATGATAAGAAGAGATAAGAACTCGACAGCCGGAGTCGTTTTGGGAACAAGGTAAGTGAAGTTTGGGGACCAAACTTCTTTAAGGGGGGAAGGATGTAAGGACCCACATTTATGTCTTAGTCATGTTCATGAGCATCTATATGATTATGACTTGTTAAGCTTGCATTTGTATGTTTGTGACTTGTTTTGCTTAAGTAAGGTCCGTGCCTTGATTTGTGGTTATGTGAATTGCCTAAGTGTTGTGTGCATGCTTTGCCCCTTTCCTTGGTGTCTCAAGCCTAGGTTATGTCAAGACTAGATCATTCCAAGCCGAGGTCATCTTCAGTCTAGAAGTATCTTGGAACCCCTTCGTTTG